ATCTGCTTTCCTCTTTCCTTTGGCCTCTAGGATTTCATCTTTCTGATGGCCTCAGCAGTGTGCAACAGCTATTTCTTTTGGTTCCCATACTGCATTTAAAAGTTGTGAGATCTCTTCCGGGTATTTCACACTTGTTCCTCGGGCAGTTAAGAATCCCCTTTTTGGTATATGTGCCCGTGTACGTGCAGTATAGCAGAAGCCTACGTTGAGTGTGTATGTTGGCTCTTTTACGCTGAGCAGCAGTGCTCTTTTGAGGCTGTTGATTCTGCTCTCTGGGCTGGTGTTCCTGTTGGCTGGCTTTGGGCCTCTACTATTGAATCTACCGTTAAACTGCATATCCAGCCCCCCGGCCCCGCCTGTCCCAAAGCTGCTGCTCTCTGGAAAGTACTCAACATCTGGATTCTGGAGGAGGCAATCTGTGATCTTCCCTTCTGGAGAAGACGTTGTCTTCTGTTTCTATACAGCCATGAAGGGGAGCTCCTGGCTCTAGAGGGAGCAAGGTAGCAGGGTTAGGAGTGTTTACAGTTGGCGGGGCGCGATGGCTCACGCATTTAATTCCAGCACTTTGGGAGGCCGAGGCGGGTGGATCACGAGGTCAAGAGATCGAGACCATCCTGGTCAACAAGGTGAAACCCCGTCTCTACTAAAAATACAAAAATTAGCTGGGCATGGTGGCGCGTGCCTGTAATCCCAGCTACTCAGGAGGCTGAGGCAGGAGAATTGCCTGAACCCAGAAGGCGGAGGTTGCAGTGAGCTGAGATTGTGCCATTGCACTCCAGTCTGGGTAACAGCAGTGAAACTCCGTCTTAAGAAAAAAAAAAAATCTAGCGTCATGTTCCCATCTGCTTTAAAGAAAATCTGTGCTTGTCACTTTTGAAGCAAATCCCTTTCTAACAAAGGAACGGGGGCACATGCTGGACCTCCTGCCCTCCAATAACCCATCAGAAGGGTCTTTTTTTCTGACCCTCCTGTTGCCCCAATAATGGTGGTGAAAGTTTTAGACAGTGGCCCCACTGAATGCTCAGCAACGGTATCTACTGTAAAATTTCTTTGCTGGCCCCCTACCTTTACCATGACCATAGGTTCCCAGGGTCTGGAGAAATGGATCCTGGTCTGTTTCAGTTCTTACAGCTGTCTACCCCAGCCAAGCCAGTAAAGCCTGTATCCTGATTACTCGGGGCCTGCGGGCTTGTGCTGCTAGTCTAGGTATTGCACGGGGGTAACAGCAGTGGCTGTATGGGGTACCTGATCTTCATCCGGGCACTCATTTTCCAGACACACTGATCTCTCTAATCCGCGCTGTTTCAGACTTCTGTCTGACTGCGGCTCTCCCACGCCCTCGTCCCTATCCTTTTCCGCATCCTCTCGTTACACCAGCTCACCTCTCCAGTAAGGCAGCCGCCAACGAGTCTGCCTTTCCTTCTGCCTTGTGCCTTGCTTTTCTTTCAGCCTCTTCCTGTCGATTGTAAAACACCTTTGTAGCCACCTGTGTGAGTTCAGTAGCATCCTTGCCCTCAAATCCTTCTAGCTTCTGTGGCTTCGGCCTGATGTCTCCTTGTGCCTGGCTGACAAAAGCTGCATTCATCTTATATTGTTCGGCAGGGGCTTCTGGGTCAAATGGGGTATAAGGCCGGGATGCTTCACAGAGCCTCAGAAAATTCTCCTGGGCTTTCATCGGGGTTTTGGCAGACCTCTGAGACTGTACTTACTGCCTTCTTCCTGCCTGCCTTCGCGCACTTAGGGACTACTGAGGGAAAGGTTGCACTGCATACCACAGGGCACCAGGGCCTGCTGGTGCAGTATTTTCTAACCACTGGAGAGCTGCTTGGTTTCTTCTCCTGTGCTCTTCAATATTAAACAGCGTTAACAGCAGTTCCTGGCAGTGTGGCCAGTTAGGGTTATGAGTAGCAAAGATGACTGTGTTAGATCAGTGAGTACTTGGGCTTCTCCACAAAGGAGGGAGTGTGTTGTTTCCAGCTCAGAAGGTTGGCAGTGGAAGAGGGCTAATGGATAAAGACTCTTCACTCACCACGAACCTGGCCCTGCCCATGTTTCACGGAGAAGCACCTGGAGAGTCCAGGTATGGTCAGATCAGAGACAACCGGCCACATGACTCTTTTTATTTCTGTCATTTCCTTATGAGGGGGAGACCCTGAGCTCCCACCCGCTTCTGAGTGAGCCCCTGTCCCTAGGTCTGCACAGCATGAGTGCCTGCTCCTCGCTCTTCACCTTGCCTCAGGTGTGCTGGGGATGGGTGTATTGGAGCGTAAGGGGATGGAACTTCTCTTTCCTCGGGGAAGCCTTTAAAATTGGTTTCTGTGGTACCTCTTGCCCATTTTTCTGTTCCCTTGTGGGCTTGGGGTCTGTAGGTTCCTTGGCCTCTTTTGTCCCTGTCCGTGCCACTAAGGCTTTGCAGTAGGCGGCGGGGCAAGGTCTCAACCACTTAGGGCATGTCTGGGCTATATTTAGCCATAAATCAATATATGGAAACTGATCTGGATGCCCTGGCTGGCCTTCGACTCTGGTCACCGCCCTAAACACTAGGCCAATGGTTGGTCTCTCATTCCTGTGGCTCGCCATCCGACCCCGAAGAAAGGCCATCTAGCTCACACAAGGTCCTTAACTTCTGAGGGGACAATTTAACTCCATACTCTCCTGAGAAGGCTTTTTTTTTGAGGTGGAGTATTGTTCTGTTGCCCAGGCTAGAGTGCAGTGGCATGATCTTGGCTCACTGCAACCTTTGCCTCCCAGGTTCAAGCGATTCTCCTTCAGCCTTCTGAATAGCTGAGATTTCAGGCATCCATTAGCATGCCCAACTAATTTTTATATTTTTAGTAGAGACGGGGTTTCACCATCTTAGCCAGCCTGGTCTCAAACTCCTGACCTCGTGATCCGCCTACCTTGGCCTCCCAAAGTCCTGGGATTACAGACCTGAGCCACCGTGCCCGGTGAGAAGCCTTTTTTAAAGTTCTTTACATGCACGCTAGCGGTGTGGGTTTTGACTCTTTTCCTCCCATCCACGAGGCACACTCACAGACTTTTACTTCGAACTGATCACCATCCTGGGAGGCGCATCCTTGCTTGATGAAGATGGAAGCCAAATTGATTTTGAAGTGAGAAGCTTCATAATGTAGCATCTGGACTTCAACTGTCCCATTTGTTTAGATGTTCTGCATTCTTTAGGATAGGATACCTCAGTGGAGGTATTATTCTAGAACTAAACCTTATGGCAGGCCAAGCGTGGTGGTTCACACCCGTAATCCCAGCACTGTGGGAGACTGAGGCGTGTGAATCACCTCAGGTCAGTGGTTTTTGATCAGCCTATCCAACATGGGAAAACCCTGTTTCTATGAAAAATACAAAAATTAGCTGGGCATGGTGGCGCACGCCTATAATTTCAGCTACTAGAAAGGCTCAGGAAGGAGAATCGCTTGAGCTGTGGAGGCAAAGCCTGCAGTGAGCCGAGAATGCGCCACTGCACTCCAGCCCAGTTAGACTGTAAGAAAAACAAAAACAGAACCTTCTGGGAGCCTTTAAAGATACCAGTTCCCTGTCACTACTCATGTGTTTTCGATTCCGTAGTTCTTAAAAGAGAGCTTCATGTCCACATACTGCAGAGCTCCCTAAGCATTCTGAAGGAGGCGGTCAGGGAGGAATTCATGAAATATTGTCCTCGATTCATCTGTAATGTCTTTTTCCTACCTAATCATAGGCTGGGACTCTAGAAAAGCTCCAGCACATCATGCTCTGTTCTTTTTATACACAGGAGTCTATTTCTGACCTGTTATCTCCACGTTGGAGCCGGGGAAAGAGCCCTGGACTGTGGAGAAAATAGCAAAAACATCCAGATGGATAGGAATTTTTTTTTTTTTTGAGATGGAGTCTTGCCCCATGACCCCGAGTGGAGTGTAGCAGCATGACCTTGGCTCACTGGAACCTCCACCTCCTGGGTTCAACCGATTCTCTTGCCTCACCCTCCCAAGTAGCTGGTACTACAGGCGTGAGCCACCGTGCCCAGCTAATTTTTGTATTTTTAGTGGAGACAGTTTCACCAGTATGGCCAGGATTGTCTCGATCTCTTGACCTCGTGATCTGCCTTCCTTGGCCACCCAAAGTGCTGGGATTACAGAGGGAGCTCAAATGGGCAGAGAGGAAGCTACACCTTCAAACAGTGTTGGGCAACTCCCTGCCATTCGAGGAATTCTATGGCAGAAGTTTAAATCCTGAGATCTCTGAGTGGACGTGTTTCTTTGCTCCATTTATCCCTCTGCCCTTCAGATGTGCAGTAGTTTGATCTTTGGGCGTTCTGGCGGTGCTGCAGCTCAGAGACAAAGGCAGAGTCTTTATCCTGGTGGCAACACCCTGTCATCTGGCTTCTGTGGCCTCTTTGGTTTCTTGCCTCTGTGGCTCAGGGAGGGCTGTCAAAGGGTCTCTTCCCCCGTGGTCTCTCCTTCTCTGCTTGATTCCATGTGATGCTCATTCTCTGTCCCTGTAGCTCAGAGCTGAGGCCTCCATACACCTACCCATTGACCTATTCGGGATCCATCCCATTTCCTGTACTTGCTGCCTATTCAGGAGATGGAAAACATGGGCTGCTCCTTCTTTGCATCCCAGCACTTTGGGAGGCTGAGGCGGGTGGATCACCTGAGGTCAGGAGTTCGAGACCAGTATGACAAACATGGAGAAACCCCGTTTCTACTAAAAGTACAAAAGTTCCCTGGGCGTGCTCGCACATGCCTGTAGTCCCAGCTACTAGGGAGGCTGAGGCAGGTCTATCACCTGAACCTGGGATGAACCTGGGAGGGGAGTTGCAGTGAGCCAAGATTGCGCCTTTGCACTCCAGCCTGGACAACAAGGGCAAACTGTATCTCAAAAAAAAAGGGAATAAAAGCCATGCGCTGTACCTCATGCCCATAATACCAGCACTTTGAGAAGCTGAGGTGGGCGGATTATTTGAGGTTGGTATAAGGTCACGAGGGAAAGGAGAGACAGACCCAAGGTCAAGTTTAGCAAGTTTATTCAGCCTGCCAGGCTGCCTCGCCATAGGCAGGGAAGGCAGCAGCCTGGCTTACAGACTACACGGGTTACGGGAGTTTGCTTGTGGCCAGATGCTGTTCCCAGTAAAACCATATTAGGTTGTTAGGGCTGATAGTTGTCCATTGGGGTGAACAACCCGGGTTCTAGAGTCAGGTGCAACCACATCCTGAAACCTCGGTGCCCTGTTTACAAGGCCTGAGGCTGTTTCTGCTATAAGCTTGGCTTAATAGGGGTGAATGTGGGGGAGATCTATGGGCCTGTCATGTGATCCTAATGTTTCCAGTCTTTCGTTATATACATGCAAGAAAGGTATAAGGGGCGTTGTTTTTTTCTAGCCGCTTCGTGCTCAGCAGGGGCGTTGGATGATGCTGGCTTTCAGGCTGGTAGTCATGGAACATTATGTCTCATATCGTACTACGGGGAAAAGCTTGTGTTCGATTCTGTGGACACTGGGTGAGAAGGCGTAATAGGAGTGCGACCAAGACTAAGAGGGGGAGGGTTGCAGCAGGCCCAGGGGAGGAAGTAGCCAGGGGGCCCCAGAGCGAGAGACCAGCTCGGCTAGACAGAAGGATTGTTTTTAGTTTTTGGGCTCAGCCTTTGAGTCTTTTGAGCACATTTTGTACTAGTCCAGATTGGTTGAGATAAAAACAGCATTGTTCATCTAAAAAAATAATGCAGGGGCTGGCCGGGTGCAGTGGTTCACACCTGTAATCCCAGCACTTTGGGAGGCCAAGGTGGGCAAATCACGAGGTCAGGAGATCAAGACCATCCTGAGCAGCATGGCAAAACTCTGTCTCTACTAAAAATACCAAAAAAAAAAAAAAAAAAAAAAAAGAAATGCAGAGACATCCTTGTTTGGTGGTTAAGGAGATCGAGGACGCTGTCATTTTGCAGGACACCTGCCACTGGTGAATGTGTTTGGAGTGTTGAAATGGATTTGGCTGTGTCTTCCATACTGTCTGAGGTTTTTGGAAAGAGTGTAGAGTGAAAGGGAGGTGGGGATAGTCTGGCTATTCTTATTTCTAGAAGCAAGGGTATAAACAGTATTGCTCTGGTGTCGGGTGGGGTGTCAGCCGGGATAGGCAAGGATTGGTTTCTTGGGGTGATACTGATTTTAGGGAGGGAAGACTAAGGTGCGGGCGCCAGTCCAGTTGGTAAGAAGGCAGATACGAAGGGAGGCACCGCATAGGAAGAAGCCGCCTTGGCTTGGCAGGCAGATCTCACTGTGCATGTTAACATGGTGTGTAAATTTTTTGTCCTTTGGAAGCCGTACTCCTAAAGTCCCTGCTAGGGCAGCTGCGGTGAGTGGTTGAAGAGGTGCATCGGGAGTGGGTTGGGTAGTCTGTGGTTTTTTATTTACCCAGTGGAGGAGGAAGCATTTTGTATCGACTAGGATCCAGTGAGAGGAGTTATTGGTGAAGGATGGGGGAGGAGGCAGTCTTGGGTCTCGGGTGGCTTGGCATCAGAGGAGGATAGGCCAGGGGTGAAGGTTTAAGCAGGGAGTGTGTCTGCCGTTACAGAAACCTGACTTCTCATTAAGGAGTAGCGTTGAGTTTGGAAGGGCTTGAGAAGCAGAGCGCAGCATTGAGTGTTTTGGTTTATGTGATTGTGGAGGGTTGGAGTTGTGGGTGAAGTCACACTGCTGGGGGAGTAGGTGGCCTAATAATGGCTGGCTGGGAAGTGGCATCTAAGAGAGCAGGGCTGTGTGTGGTGATGGGGTTTATTAGGGGAGAAAGAGCTGCCTGTCTGGTGAAGGTTTGGGGTTGACACGCTCCATAAAGCAATCAGAACGCGTATTCATTGTTGTAAATCATACTGGAAAGGGCCCCCTGGTTGAAATCGGGGGTGATAGGTTACTTTGGTGTGTAGCCAGTCTTGGGTGGGGACCGGGGCAGTGTAGGCAGCGTCCGGGATGGGGAGGCACAGCCAACAGTTGTTTACCAGGTCTCTTTGGAGCAGGAACAGAGTAGTTTTGCTTAATTATCTGGTGGCATTTGCTCTGGAATGGGTGTGAAGTGGAGTTGGGTTGGCCCATCATGATGCTGAGTATTGATGGGTGGTTGAGGAGGAGGGAGTTGACAAGCCAGTGGGGGCCTCGGGGGTCCCTTTTTAACCTGCAACAAGTGTGTCCTAAGAGTTTGGCTGCAGTGGGGGTTGTGAGGAGAATCTGAACGGGGCCTTCCCGTTTTGGTTAAGGCTTGTGTGATCAAGGTCTAGGAAAACATTCTCCTGGGAGGAGGGCCTGGTTAACTGGGCCTTCGTGAGGCTTTGGTCACTGTGTTCACGGAGGAGGCGTCAGATGCGTGAGAGTGTTGGGAGGTACTCTCCTAGCTGCGAGGAAGGGGCCTGTTTTATAAGAGGAAAGGGCGTTTGTTAACTCAGCTGGGCTGAATGAGGAGGATGCTTTTGGGCTGGCTCTGATGTGGGCGAGGAGTCTGGGCAGAAGGGAGGTCCAGGGCTTTTGTACTTCAAGAGTGAGTTTGGTTAACTGAGTTTTAAGGATCCTATTTGCCCTTTCAACTTTTCCTGATAACTGGGATTGGTAGGGGTTTGGAGGCGCCACTGGACAGCGAGGGACTTGTTGGGCAATTTGGGAGACGAAGCTAGGGCCGTTGTCTGATTGAATGGAGCGCAGGAGACCACAGCTAGGGATGATTGCTGTAGAAAGTATTTGGGAAACGACTGCAGCCTTTTCCGAGGAAGTGGGGAATGCTTCCACCCACCCAGATAAGGTATCTATGAGGTTAGGAAGAAATCATGTGAGTGAAGTCTGCTTACCAGTGTTTTCCTGGGAGTGATCCTCTCAGCTGATGTGTGGGGATGAGGAGGGAAGTGCAGAGCATACGTGAGAGTTTGAGGTTATGTCCTTGAGTGTGGTAAGTAGGTGGGGGGAAGAGAAGGTACAGGGGCGTGCACTGATATGGAAGGGTGGGTGAAGAGATATTAGAATTTCCTTGGTTTGTTCTTCAGAAAAGATGAGTTTTTGATCATTGACTATCCAGTTCCCTTGGAAGGAGGCCCCTTGCTGTAGCAGTGAAGCTTCATCTGCCTTTTGGGAAATTTCTTTGAGTTTTTCAAAATGTACAGCCTTATGGGTGGCCCTATTAAGGACTGCAATAAGGCAAGTGATCATTTGGTGACTGGATACTTTTTTTTTTTTTGAGACGGAGTTTCGCTCTTGTTACCCAGGCTGGAGTGCAATGGCGCGATCTCGGCTCACCGCAACCTCCGCCTCCTGGGTTCAGGCAATTCTCCTGCCTCAGCCTCCTGAGTAGCTGGGATTACAGGCACACACCACCATGCCCAGCTAATTTTTTGTATTTTTAGTAGAGACGGGGTTTCGCCATGTTGACCAGGATGGTCTTGATCTCTTGACCTCGTGATCCACCCACCTCAGCCTCCCAAAGTGCTGAGATTACAGGCGTGAGCCGCCGCACCGGCCGGTGACTAGATAGCCTTGGATCTGTGGGCTGATATTCTCAGGCTGGTTCTTCCTGGGGGATGGCGGCGGCCCCTGTTGGTTGAGTAGGGTCTTGCCGATGAAAATGGTCGGCATGGGCCTGAGCCATGAGCCACACACACTCTTTTCCTGTGCGGAGGAGATGAAGGACAGAATAATACAGAGATTATGCCAGGTAAGTTCACAAGACTGAGATTCAAAAAAGTGAAAAAACGAAAGTGCTTTTTCTACTCTCAAATGCCACTGAGCACAGAATGCCTCCCTTCAGATCACCAAGATGTACGTATTTTCCCCATCCACATCCCAATCTTGGACAGACATAAACCGAATGTCCTGCAGTTTAATCCAGTTCTGACGCTGCCTACCTGGAATCAGATCTCACAGGTGAAGGGTTTAGTTCCCAGGCTGGCAAGGCCTGGGATGCCGATGCAAGCAGTAGACTGTCACATGTTCCTCTGACCAACCAGCTGTAAGCTGGGTTCCCTCAACCTTTTTGTTGGGTTTGATTACTTTGCTAGGGCACCCAACAAAGCGCAGTGAAACCCTCCTTAGGCTCTTGATGAAGGATGTTTCACAGGACACAGATGGACAGCCAGAGGCGGAGATCCACTAACGTGAATCAGTAGTCACTCTGATGTGACAGTTCCACACATTACTGATATCAAACAAAGAACACAAAGACTAAATACAAGCCGAGATCAGGTAAAATACACAGAAATGTCCTAGATGAAAGTAACAGTGAACTTAAAACCAGAGGCATCTCTGCAGTGAGCTGCTCCACACAAGGACCGTGGGGAGATTCACGGGCGTGCCATGCCCCAGGCACCTGCGTGTGTTTAGCATTTGGAAGCTCTCATCCCACATAGTAGTCATGATTGATATTAACTCAGTCTGCAGCGCCTCTCCCCTTCCTGGAAGATGATGGATGGCAGTGACTGGTTTATGCTCCTAAGCCTGGCCTGGGCTTGCTGATCAACCCATCCAGGAGACCATAGAGGTACCTCCTGAGGACAAATCATGCTCCCATCATCCAGGCCATCCCAAGGTCTTCAGAGCTCTTGGTCAGGAACCAGAGAAGAGACCACTATATGCATTTACTCTTATTTCACAAGGTCCCTCAGCCATCCTTCAGTTGTGCCCCTTCTGCACTTTACTGGTATCTGTCACAAGGGTGTAGGTGGTCCTTCTGGGATGTTTACTCAGCTGAGTGGGAAGACAGTCAGAGAAAGACCCTGTATTGGGTCCCCAGGTCATCGTGGGGAGCATAGCTCACAGAAGTAAGGCTTCTGGTTTAAAGTTAATTGTTATTTGGGCCAGGTGCATTGGCTCACACCTGAAATCCCAGCACTTTGGGAGGCCCAGGCAGGTGGATCGAGACCACCCTGGTCAACATGGTGAAACCCCGTCTCTACTAAAAATACAAAAAATGAGCTGGGCATGGTGGCGTGGGCCTGTAATCCCAGCTATTCAGGAGGCTGAGGCAGGAGAATTGCCTGAACCCAGGAGGCGGAGGTTGCAGTGAGCCGAGATCGCGCCACTGCACTCCAGCCTGGGTAACGAGAGAAACCCCGTCTCAAAAAAAAAAAAAAGTATTCCTTTTGTTTTTCAAAAATTAAAATCATAATTGGGAATACATAAGTATTACTTTTAATGTAATATTACGTATTTCAATAGCAGATAACTGGTAACTGTGGGTTTCTTATATCTTGTAGATATCTTTTCTAAATGTGAGACCAAAGAATTACCACCAGAAGAGAAGAGTAATACAGGAGAAACATTCCAAACAGTAATGTTGGAAAGAATGAAAACCAGGGCGTGGGAGATGTCTCCTGCAGAGAAATCCAGAACAACTTACATGACTCTCAATGTTGGTGGAGACATGATGAAAGACATTACAAATTTATGACCTATAAGGGTAGAAAGGATGACACGCAAACTTACCCTATTAAAAGCCAGCTTGGATTAAACGTCCAGTCACATCTACCAGAACTGCAGGTATTTCAAACTGAAGGGAAAACATATCAATATAATCACACGGAAAAAAAATTGATCAACAGTAGTTCCTTAGTTTCCCCACCCCAAAGTATTTCTTCTGCTGTCAAAACCCACCTTTCTCATACATATAAATGTCATCTTACGGATTCTGTATTCACAGAAAAAGAGAGCAGATGTTCAGACAGAACGTTACAAATATAACGAGTGTGGCAAGACCTTTCATCAAGGCTTACATTTTACTGTGTATCAAATAATCCATTCTGAAGAGAAGCAATTTAAATGTGATATATGTGGCAACATCTTCAATAAAAAATCAAACCTTGCAAGTCATCGAAGAATTCATACCGGAGAGAAACCATATAAATGTAATTAAATGGTCTTCAATAATATTTCACACCTTGGGCAGCATCGCAGGATTCATACCGGAGAGAAACCTTATAAATGTAACGAATGTAGCAAAGTCTTCAGTCAAATATCACACCTTACGCAACATCGAAGAATTCATACCGGAGAGAAACCTTATAAATGTAATGAATGTGGAAAGGTGTTCCATCAGATTTCACACCTTGCACAACATGGGACAATTCATACCGGAGAGAAACCTCACAAATGTCATGGATGCGGCAAGGTCTTTAGTCGCAATTCATACCTTGCCTAACATCTGGTAATTCATACTGGTGAGAAACCTTACTGGTGTGATGAATGTGACAAAGGGTTCAGTCAAAATTCACACCGGAGAGAAACCCTACAAATGTAATGAGTGCGGAAAGGTCTTCAGTCTAAACTCATCCCTAGCACATCATAGGAAAATTCACACTGGAGAGAAACCTTTTAAATGCAATGAATGCGGCAAAACCTTTAGTGTGCGTTCAAGCCTTACTAACCATTATGTTATCCATGCTGGAGAGAAACCTTTCAAATGCAATAATGCCGCAGAGCGTTCAGTCAGTATTAAAGCCTTCCAGGACATAGGGTAATTTATATAGGAGAGTTGGGCGTGGTAGCTCCATCCTGTAATCCCAGCACTTTGGGAGGCTGAGGTGAATGGATCACCTGAGGTCAGGAGTTCAAGAAGCCTGACCAACATGACGAAACATGTCTTTACTAAAAATACAGATTAGCCTGTGGTGTTCGCGCCAAGGGCTCAAGACAGCTAGTTGACTCGCCCCAGTTTGGCTGCTGGACCTATACTGCATTTCCCACCTCGAGGGCTGTCGAGTGAGACAGGGCCGTGAGCTGACTCCCTAAAAGCAACAACAGAATGCAAAGCAAAGGTCTGCAGTTTATGAGGACATTGTGCTGTCTGCTTCCATGTCCCCCTTCAGTCTCTGTGTAAGCAATAAACTTGCTGCAATTGAGATGCCTAAGAGGAGCAGAGACCTCTGCCCATCTTTTCCCTGGAGCTAGGCCTTTGTCTTAGCTCCTGGTGAAAAACAGGTTTAACCAGCCACCTTAAGGGCGCCATTGTATCTTTGAAATGTAAAATCTTTGAAATGTAAACTACTACCACTAGCCCCCTTAAACTGCCTTCTGTGCGGATATCACAAGCCCCTGATAACTATTTTATGGAGTTTCTGTTTCCTTTCTGTCTACCCCTTTGTTTCTTTCTGCTGAGATAAGGTAAATGTAAACAAGACAAAAGGTATAAAAGCTGTAACCCACAAAAATAAATTTGCTGCGTTTTGGCCATAATCTTCACGCAGCCCTCCAGTCTCTACTTTTCTATATTCTTTCTTTTCCGCGCACTCTCTCTCTGAGGTTGAACGAGACATCTACGTTGGCGGTCTCGGGGACTCCCGCAGGTCGGTAGTCCCCCGGCAGACGTGCCGGACCCCGACATTAGCCCGGAGTGGTGGCAGGAGTCTGTAATGGCAGCTACTTAGAAGGCTAAGGCAGGAGAATCACTTGAACCCAGGAGGCAGAGGTTGCGGCGAGCTGAGATTGCACCATTGCACTCCAACTTGGGTAACGAGTGAAATTCAGTCTCAAAAAATTAATTATACTGCAGAGAAACTTTGCAAGTGTAATGAATGTAGCAGAGCCTTTAGTTTTTGTTCAATGCTTATAACCATTAGCTAGTCCATAGTGGAGCGAAACCTTACTAATCTATTAAAGGCGGCAAGGCCTTAAGGTATTTCTCCGAAGAATTCTTGCTGGTGAGAAACCTAACAAATGCAGTGAATGTCACAAGGTGTTCTGGCACAATTCTCACATTGTACAATGCTGGAAAAATCGATACTTGAGAGAAACATTACACAAACGCTGAGCGTGGAAAACCATGATGAGTTCAAACATTCATCAACATCAGAGAATTCCTACTAAAGAGCATTTGTCTAATTATATGCGATTAGAAATTTTCCATAGGCCATAGTCGTACTAGGCATCAGACTTTTTTGCTGAAACCATACAAATGTAAGGTGCACGCGTACACTTTCACCCAAGCGTCAAAACCGTGGAACATCACAGGGTACTGCAGAGAACTACACGAAGATGAATGGAATAAGCCTTCCGGTGTAATACTCATGATTTGGCCATGAGAGATCTCAATAAAATCCAGGCAAATGTTGTGAATCTGGAAAGGTCACTTATCTCAGATGCATCTTTAGGGTTCGTTACAAATTTATACTGGATATTGGGCATGGTGGCTGACACCTGTAATCCCAGCACTCTGGGAGGCTGAGGTGGACAGTTCGTGAGGTCAGGAGTCCCCTGACCAACGGAGTGAAACCCGTCTCTACTAAAAATAAATTAGCTGGGTGTGGTGGCGCATGCCTGTAATCCCAGCTACTCAGGAGGCTGAGGCAGGAGAATCACTTGAACACAGGAAGTGGAGGTTGCAGTGAGCTGAGATCATGCCACTGCACTCTAGCCTGGGCAACAGCGAGACTTTGTCTCAAAAAAAGATTCATAATGGAACCCTTACAAATGTAATGATATGGTAAGTAATTTAACCAATTTTCTCACAGTATAGTTTATCCTTCTCACAATATAATTTATCTGAGAGCTCCTATCAAGTCTAATTCTCTGCCATTAATCTTTTCTATATTCTGCAGAATAATTACAATTCAAAATATGTTAAAAGTTATGACATATGAAAGGCTCAAGGATATTTGGAAATGGCCAGTTACCTTAAGGTTATAAAATAAGGTATTCCATTATTGAAGGAGAAGGGCTTCTTTACCATATTTGACTTTCAAGCTGACATTTGAAATGTTTTTCCGAGGTCTTTCTTACAGTCATTTCATGATCTACAGGTAAGAATAGCAAGAAACAGCCTACTTCATTAGGTGAGATCTTCTATTCATGTTTCTGGGAAACGGACACTATCTTTTGTAATTAAATATTGGCTGAATACTGGCTAATCCCAGCACTTTGGGAGTCAGAAATGGATGGATCACTTGAGGTCAGTAGTTCAAGACCAGCCTGGCCAACATGGTGAAACCCCATCTTTACTATAAATACAAAAATTGGTTCGGAATTGTGGCTTGCACCTGTAATCCCAGCTACTCAGGAGGCAGAGGTTGTGGTGAGCCGAGATCGTGTGCCACTTCACTCCAGCCTGGATGACAAAGAGAGACTCTGTCTCAGAAAAGAAAGAAAAAAAAGTTGGCTGAATTAGGCTTTGGAAGGGGCTGAGAATAACGTAAAGCTGTGGTATCAGTCATACTTATTGCATACGGCATCCTTGACAGAGAGGACCAGTGTGGATTATAGAAAAGAAATGCTCTACTGGCTGGGCGCGGTGGCTCACGCCTGTAATCCCAGCACTTTGGGAGGCCAAGGCGGGTGGATCACGAGGTCAAGAGATCGAGACTATCCTGGCCAACATGGTGTAACCCCATCTTTACTATAAATACAAAAATTGGTTGGGAATTGTGGCTTGCACCTGTAATCCCAGCTACTCAGGAGGCGGAGGTTGCGGTGAGCCGAGATCGCAGCACTGCACTCCAGCCTGGGTAACAAGAGTGAAACTCCATCTTAAAAAAAGAGAAAAGAAATGCTCTACTAACCAATCATTAAATAGGGCAGTCCAAGATCTTAAGAGACTGCAGTTTTTGTTGGAGACGATTAGGAAGTGATTAGGGCAGAAGTAATGCCGGGGAAATGTCAGCCACTTTCCCTTGAATGGCAGTGCTGTCATCCAGCAAGATTGAAGAAAAATTGATGTTAATGTTGAAATTGAAAAGAACAATTACCACAGAGGAAAGGGTTTTTTTTTTTTTTTTTTTTCCTTCTATTAGTACAGACAGGGTCTCATTATGTGTCCCAGGCTGGTTTTGAACTCCTGGGCTCAAGCCATCTTTCTGCCTTGGCCTCCTAAAGTTCTGGGATTGCAGGTGTGAGCCTCTGTGCCTGGCCCAAAGAGGAGAGTTTAATGGGACTACAGGGAGGCCAGCAGCATGCCCGGCTGCTTTTGGTATTGTTTGGTAGAGATGGGGTTTCACCGAGTTGGGCAGGCGACATTTCCTATCGTTTTATTTAGTACATATCGTAGATCTTACATGTTAATAAGATTTAATGTTTTCATAACGATGGGTTAATCATGTTCCTTCTACCTGCAGAGCTTTAGCTTACCTCCATAGGATTCTTCATGTCTAGACACAAACAGTGAGAATCTACAAATTGTTTTCATGGTGGCATCAAATATCATACGATTTGAGGACATGCAATCATGCCTGCCTCCTGTGATTCTTCCAACGCCACCCAGCAGGTTAAACTTGCTTGCGTAACTTGTGGGTCTACACATCCTTTACATTTTGGTGCGAAACCTGAGAAAAGATAGGCTCTGGCCGAGTATCCTTAAGGGGCTCACTCTCTCTCTTCTTCCCTCCCTTCCCCATCCTGTGGCCTCTCTCCTGGCCAACCCTCCCCTTCTCCAACCTGCTGAAGACCCAGAGGCTCTCCAACTCTCCCATTGCTGGCAACCTCATTTACCATCAGAGGCTCCGCCAGGGTGAGTAAGAGACTCTTGCCATTCACCCAGAACCGTTGACGTCTCTGCCTTCCCGAAAGACCCAGTGCTGGCCAAGGGCTTTCTCCAGCCTCCAGACCTCTGGTTCCTCCATTTCAGGGATGCCTGACTTAGTGGCTACCGCCTATATTCTGGACAGGGCCTGTGGGACAGGGGACACCCTCTCCCAGCTGCTTTTTAATTGGCAGTCTCTTCTTCCTCCCCAGTTAGCTATGGGAGCCTCTCAGTCTACCTCTTGCAAAACTACCACCATTGGGTGGCTCTGGTATAATCTCAATACAAATTCCACAATGGCCCAAAAATTGCACTTTTGATTTCAATATACCTAGAGACTTAGACAAATTTTGCTTCACGATGGGAAACGGTACCCATCCTTTCCTCTGCCAGTCCCATTCTACTTCCCAGATCCTCCTCGCTCACTCCAAACCCAACTCTCCCTGTGTCACTGGCCTCACAGCTCCAGCCGACCACTGACAGCCCACTGCACGCCCGACAGCCCCAGCCAACAACTCCTCTGCCTTTGACCCCACCGATTTTTCTCCTCCTGATTCCCCACCAGAGCCTCAGGATCTACCTCCTTATGCCCCGCTCTGGCCCTATCCCTTCCTCCCTCTCTCCAGCCACCCTGCTTGAGTCCTCCCCATCACCACCCTTACCGGTCTCAAGCCCAATATGCTCAGCAACGAGCCCCCTTGCTTCTCCTTTGGGAACGACTTGTCCATGTCCACCTCCACGTCTCCCTCTCTGATCTCTCCTGGATTGAGAAACGTCTCGGGTCCTTCTCCTCCAATCCTGACACTTGTATCAGAGAATGTAAATACCTCAGCTAGTCTGATGGACACACTTGGCATGATCTCTACATGACTCTCTTCTACCCTCCTTCCAAAAGGAAAGACTGGGTGATAGCCAGGCACAGGCGGAGAGTCTTCATTGGCAAGACCCTACGAAGCCTGTAGGAGCTGCTGCTGGTCCCCGGGAAGAGCCTTCCTATGAGTACCAACTCACAGACAGCGGCTGGGCATCCCACAGCCTCGCTGCAGGCCTTAATAAAGCTGCCCATAAGGCCGTAAAGGATGAAAAAAAAAAAATTTCCCAAATAGACGAAAATTCTGCCCAATTCCTTTTCTGCCTTAGAGGCTCTCCAAAAACACACTCATGTTGACCCTGCCTCCCCAGAAGAAACTACTGGTCTTAATACCCATTTTATCTCCCAATCTGCCGTGACATCTGCCACAAACTGAAAGAGGCTGAAGACGGTCTTCAAACCCCACCAGACCTCCTTAGCCTGGCTTTCAGAGTCTTCAACAACAGGGACGAGGAAAGGAAATTAGACAAAGTCCCCAAAATCATGCCAAATACCAGCTTCTAGCTGCAGCTGTCCATCAGCCCAGCCACAGCACCCAAGGGCACAAATGACCCAATAGCAGGGGCTCTCTGGGGCCTTGTTTAAAGTGCAGCAAAGAAGGCCACTGGGCGCAGGCATGTCCGAACCCATGAGTGCCAGAATCCCCTTGCCCGCTTTGCCAACAGACAGGCCACTGGAAGTCTAATGTCCTCTCAACAGACAGAAAAGCTTGCGCCTCAGAGCCACCACCTCTTCAGCAAGAAGAAAAGTGAAGCATGGCCGCACTTCCGCAGCCCCTCGGCCTAGCTGCTGAAGCCTGGCGAGGCCCAGGGCCCCCAGCCCCCTCTGCCGTTACTGCCTCAGAGCCCAGGGTAACTGCTAGTAGCAGGTAAAT